ACACCCGAACTAGGAAGAGGCCCCATTAGCACAAAGCCATCTTTAATGCAAGTTGCCAAACCCGCATCCGCGTGGCCGCTGCTTTCAAGCATCTCCTGAAACAGACGTAAGTCTTTGCCTTCAAGGATTTTTGCGCAGTGGCCCTTAGGGGGGTTCGGGTCTACTTGTTCCTTAAGTGCTTGAGCCCTTAAAGTCCACTTCCGAAGAGCTTCGGTCCGCTCTCGGCCAAGGTCTTCGTAGGAGGTCGTGGCACAGCGTTTGGCACACTTCTCCAAGACATCGGGCACTCCACTATAAAGATGTCTTGGGTGCTCTGCTGCACATGCTGACTTCACGAAGTCATCACACGAGTGAGGCACAGCAAAAGCCATCTCCCGAATGGGTCCGTGCTCAGTGCCCCAACCCCCGTACAGCACACGAGTGAGGCACAGCAAAAGCCATCTCCCGAATGGGTCCGTGCTCAGTGCCCCAACCCCCGTACAGCACAGAGCGGGTGCATTTGGAGCCAGCGGGGAGGCCATGCACCGGTGGCAATGCGGACAACTCTGAGGACAGCGGTGTGAACTGCTTAAGGACCCCGGTGGGAGGCATGAAACAACCTGGGCCGCGGAGCACAACAAAGCCTGCCCGCGGCGGTACAAGCGGAGGTATCCTGGAGCCTTTGGGTTGTTTGCCGGTCGCCGCCTGGGCCGCTCGGCTAAGCGATACCTGAGGGCAAGAAGTCGCACAGCCCGACAGCACTAAGCGATCACGGATAGCATGCGCAAGGCCTTGGCACATTGCAAGTGGGTATGCGCTGATGGGCCCATCAGTCGACGAGTCCCATGGCGCATGCTGATGTTGGCCATCACACACAAGGCAGAGCCTCCTCACCTCAGGAAAGTTGTGGAAGAGAGCCGACACTGGTGAAGAGTTGTCTTCAAGAAGCCAAAGGCTTTGCACTTGTTGCCCACGGGCCCTTGCCAAAGCTTGCTGGCCATCGGATTTTCAATGACCAGCAAAATGCCGGCCCGTTGACACCATTCGATGACCTCGGTACACAGCGGATTCAGAGCATCCTGACTTTGTGGCGGTGACATGTGCACAGCAGCTAGGTTGTCGCGCTTGAGCATGTCCCACAAGAGAGGATGTTGGCTGGGATCAAGAAGATTCAAAGGCACGACGGAACACTTGGTTCGCCCAGTGACTCGAGCAGAAACTCCAACAGAAGCCCCGATCCCGACCTTTTTAACGGCAGCAGCTAGGCCTCCAGTGCCACAGAAGATCTCAAGGAAAAGCATGTCCCCCAAGCATTTGTCATGACAGCGATCTTTCAAGCCCGAGGGAAGACATGAAGGATCGCACACCAGCGACTTGGCCGGCGGGTCATTGGTGGAGCACTCTGACATCGACGGAAGGACAAACCCTTGCTCAAGCAACTCGGTGCGATCAGCTGGGCAAAGCAAGTGGGAACCCTTAACCGAAAAGGCAACAAGGACTAACCTATCACCGATCCAGTCAACGGTCTCATGCCTTAACCGATATGCATCAAAGACAGCATGGGTGCCTGCAACTTCAAGAAGGTCCGCACGAACATCCCCAGATGCAGTGGATGTGGTGTGAGACCCCTTGGGATTTTCAACAAGCACTTGCCCGCCTCGGAAATCACTGATGCCAATGATGATGTTTGGCAGCTGCTCGTTGTTGACATCAATGTGCAAAGCCGTTTTGACATTCAAGAAAAGATTCAAGCTGGTAAACGAGTGCGAAGGCGCGCACTTCCGGACCATGGCAGTCAGGACCTGACAGGAGTGGGGGAACTTGCGGCTCCCAACTCTGAGGCCTCGCAAGGAACCCTGTGCATACATCCCACAGGAGAAAGTGGCACCAGTTCCATCCCCACGTGGGGGAGTCTCGTGCGGCAGCATATTGAACAGAGCACGGATGTCACCTCGGTTTGGAGACTCTCGGACCTTTAGGATTTTGCAAGCGAAATTCTCAGCGCCATGGCAGGGATCACGTGCCAGCTCATCGACTCTGGTTTCTTAATTAGGGCATCCTGCTGGTTGGAACGCAGGGCACCGGCGGGAAAAGGATTAGGGGAAGGGTTGCACGAAGCATCATCGGCCTGAACAAGGGACTGCTCGACCGAAGCTGGAAAAATTTTTCTGCCCTCACAAAGCTCTGATGCTGACGACAAGCCAGAACCAATGCAGGATGAAGACACATGTCTGGGACCAGCCGGCGCCTCACCGGTCTGGCACAACTTGATGCACTTCGGTGGACGTGGGCCATCGGATGGCCCACTCGAGGGTCACTCCTTGTTTTCCTTGCATTCCTGCAAGGAGTGATTCTTTCCGCAGCGCATGCAGGCGTGCTTTCCTCTGCGGCAGGATTTCCCTGCTTTCGCGAATTTGCATCCTTTCGCGCAATTGTATGGCCAGCAAAACTTCTCTCCTGACTCGGAGACAGTCAGAAGGTTGGGAATCGACCTAAGTTCATCTGGCATTTCGCTTTTCTGAACCTTGGTGGAATCAGGTTTGACCTTCTTCTTCTCATTAATCTTCCTCTTCTTGTCATCGTCCTTCTTGGAAGGATCTCGCTGAGGCCTCTCCGGAGCCTTGGTCTCCCGAGAGGGGAGCAAGTGGAAGAGAACAGTCGGGTCTCTGTTGAGATCGGCAATTGCTGCATCAAGCGGAAGCGCCCCCGAGGCAGTCCTCCTAAGTGAATGCACGCGTTCCGCCAACCTGACCCATGCGATCCGGTCTGCACGCAAGATCTGCTCAATGCTGGGTTTTGCGCAGCCTGGCGGCGGCTGCTGCTGCAACCTCTCCAACATGAAGGAATCAAATCGCAAGCAAGAGCACGGCGCTGGAGAGCTTGATGCAAGGAGAGGGCATCCTGTATGGCACATTTGCCGCGGTCGGATCGATCCTTCACTGAGATCTTGTTCTGATCCAGGACAAGTTCCTTGCCCGGCTTCTCCCTAGCAACTTCAGCAGCGCGAGTATCAAAGCGGTGCGGCTCCAAATACATGGGGCTGTCCTTTTCGAGCATCTGTCCCACGTAATCATATGAGCCGTGGGAGCACTCCAAAGGCCCAGAGAGCGTTAGGCCACGCATCCGAGCCTTCTGCGACGCAATCCTGGCACTCCGCTCTGCTGGCACCAACTCCACTTTCTTGTCGGTTCCTTCTACTGAAGCCTTGACGTGGGCCAAGCACAAAGTTTGGCACTCGAACATCAAATGTCGAAGAGCTGCAAGCGTGCCAACCCCAACGCTCTCGGGATTCAACGGCCTCAGAAGGTTGCGCAGCTGATCCTCGCTCGGAGGAGTTCCTGGGGCGCTTGTTGCAAAGGCCAGAAGCGAGATGTTCACTATGCCAGCAGTCTTGAGCCGCTCAATTTCTTCTCCTGGGAGTCCGCAATCCTTAGCTCTCGCTTCGAACGCAGCCTCACTCTTCAGCAGAGAAACCATTGCGCAAGCCACTAGCTTGAAAGCATGGCTACGACCTCGAGACCAAAGGACTCACAGAGCACGTACGATCTGGGATGCACTCTAGAAACAGAGAAGCGCAACAACCAGAGGGCTCCATCAAGTCGTAGGTCCACATCACTCAGGGCATATGCAAGAGCACGCCCGCACAGTGATT